TGCCAATGACCCAAGAGTAATTCTTATTTTTCTCTTTCCCCATCAAAGCCATCTGAAATCCCTGTTGGTTCTACCTTCAAAATATATTACCAATCCAGACACCTCTTTCTACTCTGTGCCACCAATCTTATTTAAGCCAACAATATCCCTTGCCTGGTCTGCAATAGCCTTCGGATTGGTTTTCCTGTCTCTGCTCTTGCCTTTTCCTGACCCCCAAGTCTGTCATCCACAGTAAATGGTGTTGTTCTGGGGTTTTACGACAACCCGAGTAAATGTTTTGGACATAGATCTGATTATGACAAATCCTCCCACTAACACACACGTGCACACAAACCTTATGATGGCTTCCTGTCACACTGAAGATGCAATCTAGCTCTTACTGTGACCCACAGTCCTCCACAATCTGGCCATTTCTTCCCTTCTGCTCTCCTCACTTTGGGTTCTTCTCCTTGCTCATGCTTCTCCAGCAACTGCAAAGTTCGGTCCTTTGTTTTTCCAGAACACTTCAAGCGCTCTCTCTCTCTCTCTCTCTCTCTGTCTCTCTTTTGACTCAAGAGGGCATCACCATCTCCTGCCCTCTGTTCATCTCCCAGACATCCAGAGACAATCCTTTCTCATTTGGTTCCTCTTTCCAATGATCATCACCTCCTCTCTGGGAAAGTTTACCTCCTCTGAGCACGCTCTCTAAAATAGCACCTCTCCCTATGTTACCCGGAAGTATTTCTTTCTCTCCTCGCTTAATTCTTCTCCTCCCCAGCAGATTACCAAAAGGTAATTTCCAAGATGACAGAGACTTTAACTGTCTTGTGCATTACTACATATTCCATGCTGGAATAGTGCCTCATTTCATAACACATACAGTAAATGTGTGTTGACATATGGAGAAAGGGAGGAAGGGAGAGGGAGAAAGAGAGGAAGGTAGAGGAGACAACAGGGGAAGAAGAAGGGAGGGAAGAATTGGAAGTTCCACAGCTCACTTTCCAGCTGAAGACAAAATTGTGAGGACTCAAGATTATTCCAGGGACGCATGTGCAAGCATCTCTGGCTTCCCTTTCCACATTGTAACTAACAAGGGGTTCTTGTCTGTAACGTTCGTTACATGTAGGACCTGAATTCAATGTATTGTTACATCGCGCCATGATTCTATTTGCTGCCATGCAAATCAATTTCAGCATATTGAGAAGAGTAAAGGAAAAGCATGGAAATATATGACCAGGATATGCAGAGGAAGGGAAAGGACAAGTAAATGGGAGTGACCTGAATATTAAACACAAAAATTTTAGTTCCAGAGATCAACTGCAAATTTAAGGGGAGAGAAACAAATGAATAGATTTAAAGAATGAGTAGTCTGAAAGAGTCGGGAGCTTTCTGACCAAAATGCTGTGAATTTCAGATGCAGTAAATTCCACATCGGCTTCACAAGGACTGAGCTCTGCTCCTGGGAAGATTCAGCAAGGAGGTCTGCGCCGGTTTGCCCCGGGTCTATTTCTTTCTTATTTGAACGATCTTATTAAATATACAATAATGTTAATACGTGCACATGCTCCTTAGAGCAGGAATTGTTCCCTTGGTAATGAAGTGGGAACACCCACTTGGGAAAGGTATTAAAACCATCACTCACTTTCATGATGACTCTAATCTCAGAGCAAATGTCCGTGAGCCACTGGAAGGCAGAAAGATGATCATTATAGCCTTCTACCTGGTGAAAAGCTCGCCGCTGTCAATCTAACTGCGTGTGAAAAAAAATCGCACTTTCTTTTGAGGAGCTGAGTGATTTGAATATAAATAAGCAACTCTTTCCGCCTGTCAGTTACCTCGAGAATATTTAGTGTTGTCTCTTTTAATGATTGCTCATTACAGATGAGTGCGAGTGAGCGGATTTAATCAGGGTAATACGGGGTAATCATCATGTGAATTTCTCCACATCGGGACTTGTTCCATCTGTTCCGAGCCATTTGTCCATGTAAAACTGTCACCATCTTGAGCCAGTGACTGACAGGTGAGGCCAGACATGTACGTTTTTCATCTCAGACTCAGAAACTCTCTGACGTGTCCTTCTCACCGAAACAAACAGCTTAAAAGACATAGAGGGGTCTGTATTTAGGACCTTTTTTTTTTCCTTTCGTGGGTTTGTTGGGTTCCTCATTAAAATACTTAGCTCAGTCTCTCTTAGCACAAGAGCATGACCAAGGCCACGGTTATCTTGACGGACGTGGTGGAATCTAGGGGGAAGGCTGGGTAACACCACCTTGCAGGGCTTCGCATCAGCACTGACAGCAGCCGCCTCCTGGGGTTGAATGGGGCATCGGCTTAGCAGCCACACAAATGCTGTGCTCCCAGGCATAGACGTCTTTTATTCTGCCTTCCCTCCATGTAGGAAGTGCCAGTCTCGGGCGAGGTGGCAGCCCTTGTCAGCAGCCTTTGTGCGTGGTCACTGAAGACATGGGTGATGGAAATTATTTGATGAAAAAAACGTAGCTTAAGCCTCATGAATCTTTATTTTTTACTCCATGGGATTTCCACGTCAGAAGACCTACAAGAACCGAAGCTCTCTGTTGAAGGATTGCCTCTAGCCCCCAAGCTGGTTCTAACAAAAATTGTGAGAGAATATTTGAGGACCGAATATCCCCTCGAGAAGCTTCAATCCACCAGACAAGCAGCAGCCAATAAACACAATTAGACAGAGTTATTCCCTTTAAGTCTTTGGTGGACCGTGCGTCACCTCAGCTGCACCTGCTAGTTTGTGGTCAGTGCTGGAGGACTGGGCTGTTGTTTTAGACTCAGAATCAACTTTTGTCCACCCTTTCCCTTGTGTCACCGTGACTGTTTTGCAATATTGAGGTGCCCAAGCCATGCTGAAGGGCTCAGTACGTAAATGTCGCCACCACATTGGGGCAACAGGGAAGAGTTAGACGGGGGTTCTATGACCCGATGGCTCTAGGAACCGGCAGAAAACAGAAACTCTCGAGACGACTTTACAACATTTACTTCTCTTTTCCTTTGTTATGAAAAGCCTTATATAACCGACTCCGGTTCTACGTCACAAAAGTACCATGCGCCAAATACCAAAGGAATGAGTGGGGTAGGGGGTGAGGAGAAAGCCCAGATATGCCCTCAAAGAGCCGAGTCTCACAGGCCACGAAGTGACAGAGCAGAAGCACGGAGGTTTGACTGAGAACCAGGGAAATAGGGGTTGCTGCTTTTTTGAGAGTTTTCGGCTTCGTCGTTTCGTAGCTGGAGGCCCTTCTGTTTTTGTTTTTCGAGCCCTCAGAACGTACAAACAGAAAGTGTTTTTTAAGTACATTTTTCTTCCCACCTGATGGAGAGGAACAAGATTCATCTTGATTGTCACGCTCGAATCCGGATCCATTTTCGTAGAATTCACTCAGGATCTGGCTCCCTCGATGCCCCCTTTGATGATGTTCCTGTTTGTTTCCTTTATCTCACTGAAGCCGTGACAAGAACAGAGAAGAGTCCTATGCTGCACAGACATTGCATATTCAGGGAAGAATGATAAAGTAACCGGGAGATTTATCCCCACCACTAATGTTTTCTACCGGCAAGGTTCATGCTAAGTATCCTTTACGGCACCTTTGGACAAAGGGAAATGTATCCACAAAGACCTGCGTCATTAGGACGTCTGCTGGGAACTGTACGGTCAAGCGCTGAGTCGGAAAAGCTTCAATAAATTGTTCCCCACTTTATGCTCCGGTACGGAATTGCTGAATTATCCAAACACATAACTTTGTTTTAGATCACACCGTCCATGGGGTGGGCTCTGCCCTCAGTCTCTGAGCGTCTTAAGGATGAAAACCGTGTCCCATTCCCTTTTGTCCCCTCGATATCTAGGACCGTGGCGTTCCACTGGAAAATGTCTTCCCGCCCAGGGAGCATTTGGCAATGTCTGGAAATGCCGCTGGTTGCCCAGAGAGTGGGGCGTGCTACTGGCGTCTGGCTGGTGGACGCACCTTACAGCACATGGGCTATCCCCCTCACCAGCAAAGAACTATCCAACCCGCAATGTCAATAGTGTGGAGATTGAGAGAACCTACCTTAGTGTGACACCTGGTACGGGATGCATGTTAATAAATGCTGATTTAATTTCTCCAAAAATAGTCTGTTCGACAATTAGAACAGCAAACTGAATCGGGTCCTCTTTTCCTAAATGACTTTTCCCCTGGAAGTACCAGATCATGTCATAAAAACCTCATAGTTTGGGATAAAAAAAAAAAAAACAGGGAAAAGGTTTCCAACCCTATGTTATCCTGCAGATGGATACGGGTACGAATGGTTCTAAGTGATTCCCTCAGTGGTACATTGCCTTCCTTTAGGCTTTTGACTGATTGTATACACATATGGGTAAGCCTAATTCCTTTGTCTCTATGTTTTTTGACGCTTTCTGTTTATCCCATATATTTTATTATATAACTGCTTTACATTTCCGGTGGTCCTGAATCATTGAGCCATTGCATATTGGATAACTACTACTCAGGAGTCCTATGTGCTGACCATTCCGCACCATTGTAGCAGAAGTGAGCATCTCAGAGTCATGTCTTTTTAAAGAATGCCCCGCTAACAGGAAGCAGAATTACACCTGCAGGCACAATTCAATATTCATAGTGGAGGTGAAGGATTGAGGAGTTTCCACTGATTATGTGGTAGGGGAGCCCTTCTCCCAGCCCTGAAGGTGTCTGATTCCACTATTTGCTTGTGACGACGTCCGAAGCTAAGTAGATCTGGAAAATGCAAAAGCTATCGCCGAGAAGCAAATTATTGCTGGAGTATCTCTTTCTTATTTGACTGGCTCGGAACCAAATTGAGAAAACGGTGATATAAACAAATGTATGCCACCTTCCTGTCCCATTGCCTTTTTTGTCAGTCATATTCCCCAAAGGGTTTCTAGTCCAGTTGAAGAAAAATAGAAAACTAGAATAATCTACACTGTCCAAAAATCTATAAATACATCAGTTTTTAAAGTAACCGATTTTTTTCTTCTCAGAATGCTAGACTTTTACCTCATTATCCATTTTCTTCTTCCAGTGATACAATGTCTCATCGGAGTTTTAGCAAATGGCATCATTGTGATTGTGAATGGCATTGAGTTGATCAAGCAGAGAAAGATGGTTCCGTTGGATCTCCTTCTTTCCTGCCTGGCGATTTCCAGGATTTGTCTGCAGTCATTTATCTTCTACATTAATCTGGTTATTCTCTCCTTGATCGACTTCCTTCCACTTGTTAAGAATTTTGCGGTTTTCATGTTTGTAAATGAAACGGGACTTTGGCTGGCCACATGGCTCGGCGTTTTCTACTGCGCCAAGATCTCCCCCATCGCTCACCCACTCTTCTTCTGGTTGAAGAGGAGGATATCCAAGTTGGTGCCATGGCTGATCATCGGGTCTCTGCTTTTTGCCTCCATCCCTTTGGTTTTCTACAGCAAGCATACGTGGGTTCTTTCCCAAGAAGTCTTGTTGAGACTTTTCTCCCCAAATGCAACGACTCAAATCAAAGAAACATCTGCTTTACAGATTGTCTTTCTTGCTAGGTTTTCACTGCCGTTCGTTATCTTCCTCATTTCTACTCTGCTCCTGGTGTTTTCTCTGGGGAGACATACCTGGCAGATGAGAAACACAGCGACCGGCACCAGGGACAGTAGCACAGGTGTCCACGTGAGTGCGCTTCTGTCCATTCTGTCCTTCTTGGTCCTCTATCTCTCCCACTACATGACAGCTGCTTTGCTCTCTTCTCACATTTTTGAGCTCAGAAGCTTCACGTTTCTGTTCTGTATCTTGGTGTTCGGGTCCTACCCTTCGGGACACTCTATTATCTTAATTTCGGGAAATCCTAAACTGAAACAAAATGCAAAGAAGTTCCTCCTCCATGGGCAGTGCTGCCAGTGAGAGAGAACTTTGGTCCATTCGAAGAACTGGCAGTTCCATGAGCTGACGATGCCTGCCATACCTTCTTGAGTCAAACAAAGCAGTCTGCTCACAATTACACAAAGCTTGGACTGCTTGTCTAACCTGACGCATTTTTATGGATTTGCCCCTTTTTCAAAGGGTTATATTGATTTTCAGAGCCCAACGCACACTGGCGGATCGCATCAATGTCAATATCCTCATTGCGATACTGTACTATCAGGGCGCAAGGTGTTACCTGATTGGGAAAGACTGGGTAAGTGGTACGGGGATCGATCTGTATTATTTCTCACAGCTGCACGTGAATCAGCAATTGTCTCAAAAAGTTTAGAGAAAAAGAAAAGGACGTTTGAACTCGTGATGTCAGAAGGGTGTGTGAATGCCGTGGGGTCCCCGTGCGCCCGATGCCTCATCTAGATGATGGATCTTGAAAGGACCGGTTGCTCCTTTTGGGTCTAACTTGCAGATTACTTTTGCTCTGTTTGTTAGAGTCGTCCGATCTGAGAGAGAGCCGAGGACAGGCTGGCCATCTCTGTCCTGGTAAGCTTGCTCACCGACGCCACACTGCTGAGATGCTAGACGCCATGTTGACATGTCCCATCAACTGCCCAAAGGAGCAGGCAGATGGAGGAGGAAAGAGGAACCCGGGCCTGAATTTTCCATTTCCCCTAACTGGGCCCACGGACCAGAAAATAGTTGGCAAAGCTGTTTCATCTTGCATTTGTGTGCTCGGCTTTGGGACCTTTTCAACCGATGGTACCAAATTAGAACTCCTACCACACCGCATGTCTCCCCAATGAAGCAACACCAGTAGGTGGGTGGGCTGGGGGCTTCTCCGTCCGCCTCGCGTCACAGATGCATCTGCTATGTGACTGATGGTTTTTAGATGCTCAGACATATAGGTCTTTCTAAAACAGCTTCGGAACCCTTTTGCTTCCTGTGAAACGAAAGACGCTCCCCAGTTTGGCTACAGCTTGTAGCTCATGTGTGATGATGGAAAAGCCTGTTGAGGGGCGCCTGGGTGGCGCAGTCGGTTGAGCGTCCGACTTCAGCCAGGTCACGATCTCGCGTGATCTCGCGTGAGTTCGAGCCCCGCGTCAGGCTCTGGGCTGATGGCTCGGAGCCTGGAGCCTGTTTCCGATTCTGTGTCTCCCTCTCTCTCTGCCCCTCCCCCGTTCATGCTCTGTCTCTCTCTGTCCCAAAAATAAATAAAAACGTTGAAAAAAAATTAAAAAAAAAAAAAAAAAAAGCCTGTTGAGGTTTGGGTTGGCCAATTGCCAGGAACGGAGATTCAGAGGATGGTTTCCTCGCCCAAGACATGCACGCTTGGTTGTACTAAAATAACAGAAGTCTTTGCTTCGGAAGAGTGCAGGAAAGTACTTATCTTCTTGGGTGTGGGAACTTGGGTATGCATCTCAGGCTTCCCCCCACCAAGGAGCAAATTAACCGTCTCCATCTTCCTGCTATTTTATTTTCCTTCGTCCCAGTAGGTGGGAAGGTTTATGACTAATCGTGCACCCAGGCAGCCAGCTCTGGGAACAGCAGTTGTGTCCTGCAGGTGATTATTTCTCCCGCTTTGAGAAGGGACAGTGAAGAGTTACTTTTATTTTCTGTGCGTCTCAAGGGCGGATGCCGGCTCTTTGAATCGCGGTGTGTACACCGGCAGGTGGATGGAGAGAGAGTGGGGGGGCGGTTTCAAACATTTGGGGAGAAATATGTAAATATACAAACTCTCTTGTGATTTTTTTTTCCTCTGATGCCAAATCCTGATTCCATTACATGCAACTTCTGCCTTCAGAAGGCTAGTAAATGAGATGAATATTAAGGTCAGACTGTTTGATACTTAAACGTTACCAAGGAGTTCTAGAAAAGAGGATGCATACTCTTTTCTGTAGAAACATTTTCACAATCTACTCTCCTAGAACTATTTCTTCCAGCAACGTCGATGGATATTGTGTAGAACGCGAATTGCTCCGTTGTAGAAGCAAAACAGACTCAGCCTTTGATCCCTCTGTAGCAGCCCTTGGCTGGAATCTTTAGCCTGGACAAATCGGTTCTGTCCTGGCATCTAGCTTGGGTAGCATGGGGTTAGCCTCTGTATAGGTACCGACTCTTCCTCTACCCTACCCCTGCATCTATAGGCATGGACTGGCCATTGTGGCCCCTGGGAGCCTTGGCTGGGGGTCACGTGCCCATGGGTCAGGCCAGAAGGCTGTTAACTACAGGGCACAGTACTATGTGCCCTTCATCCCCTGCCCGTGGTCCCCCACCCCTCTCCGCCGGAGTAGATCCAGTGGCCCTGCTCAGTCAAGAGCAAAGGAGGATCGGCTACCAGGCAGGCTCTTACTGAAAAGGGAGCCAGCATAGTACCTCATCGCATTTCAGATAGGGGTTCGGTAAGCGGCCCCAAACCAGAATGCCAGGATTGCCCCTCGTGTCCCACTCCCCATGCTGACACTGACTCCTTTGGTCAAGGATTCTCTATGGTTTCCAGTGACTAAACATGGTAACTGACTGAAAAGGTGCTGATGTAAATACTTTTTGTAAGTATAGATACCGTAACAATTTGAATATTGAAACACAGGGGCGCCTGGGTGGCTCAGTTGCCTGAGTGCCCCATTCTTGATTTTGGCTTAGGCCATGATCTCAGGGTCATGGGATTGAGCCCCACGTCAAGTTCCTCATTGAGTGTGCAGCCTGCTTAAGATTCTATCTTGCTCTCTGCTCCTCTCCCCTGCTCATGCCTTCTCTCTTTGAAATAAAAAAAATTAAAATAAATGCAACAATTTAAAAAGTCTCACAAATTACTAATGCCTTTTTTTTTCATGTTTATTTATTTGGGGGAGAGAGAGACAGAGCACAAGGAGGGGAGAAGCAGAGAGAGAGGGAGACAGAGAATCCAAAGCAGGCTCCAGGCTGAGCTGTCAGCACAGAGCCCAACGCAGGGCTCGAGCCCATGAACTGCGAGGTTATGACCTGAGCCGAAGTCGGATGCCCAACTGAATGAGTCACCCAAATACCCCACAAATGCCTTTCGAATTCTCAGTCACTCATTCAAATATAATAACTGTTGAAGACAGAATAATCTAGACCTGGAAGTGCTAGGAGCACATTAGCATTTAATGTCTACCGGTCTTCAAACTGATGACCACCCATTCCAGACAGATCTTTTCTAAAAAAATTTTTTAATGTTTATTTATTTTTGAGAGAGAGAGAGAGAGAGAGAGAGAGAGAAAGCATCAGCAGGGGAGGGACAGAGAGAGAGGGAGACACAGAATCTGAAGCAGGCTCCAGGCTCTGAGCTATCAGCAGAGAGCCCGATGCGGGGCTCAAACTCACAAACTGCCAGATTGTGATCTGAGCCACAGTTAGATGCCCAACTGACTGAGCCACCCAGGAGCCCCATGCAGATAGACTTTAACACCCTGTTGGATGCTTAGGTATTAGTCATACTCATCAGACTGTGAATATTCAAATCTTAGGCTTTAGAAATATGGTTACAACAACTTTTGTCCGTATAGACCGACATCTCTTCGGGTAACAAGACGGACAGGTAGTCAGAAATATCCAAAAGAGAAAGAAACCAGGCAGATCATCCAAATCGACTTTGGCAATCCATGGGACAACAGATGTTACAGACAGATGGCACCCATAGTGGAGAAAACTCCAAACAACAGGGACAGGGAGACCCACATGTTTTAAAAAGTGTCTTACTAGGGTATGAGATTGGAAATCACATTAGAGATTGTATTAACACAAACTTAGTTTCAGTGGTATATTCTTTTTTTAAAACAAATATTATTTTGCCACTCAATCATTGCAGATTCAACTGAAACCTTTATGCCAGGGGAGAGGGTAGGTTCTGGAAAAATCGGCCTCAGTGGACTGAAAACGTTAGGCTTTGGGAGAGAGTCAACATAAATTCAGTTACGTTGTGGACATTTATTTCATTACCTTTCTATATAAAGCCAGCATCACCCTCTGTTTCCTTGATACACGAAAGTACCTGATGTATGGCTCCATAGCTTCACGGGACTCAATACCGATTGTTTTTAAGATGTGACGTAAACATTTGGCTTCAGATCTGTGACATCTGGATCTACTTCATCATTCTGGCTGCGGTTCAGGAGTTGGTGATTGTTTCCTGTGATTTAAAACATATTCAAACCAATGAACTGTGGGTTTCCTTTTTTCTTTTTGGTGTTTTACTGGTTTTTATTTTATTTTGTTTTTTAAATGTTTATTTCTTATTAAGAGACAGAGAGAGACAGAGCATGAGCAGGGGAGGGGCAGAGAGAGGAGGAGACACAGAATCCGAAGGAGGCTCCAGGCTGTGAGCTGTCAGGACAGAGCCCGATGTGGGGCTCGAACTCTCGAACTGCGAGATCATGACCTGAGCGGAAGTCGGACGCTTAACTGACTGAGCCACCCAGGCGCCCCTATTAGTTTTTATTTTAAACAGTTTTCCACAAGATCATCAGCATAAATAATATTAAATAAAATATAGACTTAAATGTCTGAAAATATGTCCGTTTTTAAAATGAGCGCTGAGAATTCATTTTGTTTAAAACTCAGCATTGTTAAGGAAAAAGATACATTGTGACGCTCTATTTTTGAGGTTGAAATGCATGGTCCTAGGTGAATTCTTCAGCTTCTTGTAACTCAACTCTCTTCTTCTAGATTTGTGTAAGTAACGCAAGTCCATGCTGATGTATGAATGGGTAGAATTTGAATTTGGGGATATGTGAGGTCCTGTAGCTAAATTGGGCTCAGCGCTCGGTGAGCATGGTCTGAATGACCTAAATTCCAGAACCACTGGGGAAGCCAGATTCTTCTGAAGACAGGCAGGTGGAAAAGGATTTGGAAAATAAATAAGTGGCTAACAGTGGGATAGGATATTATACTACTAAATGTATGGGTTGCCCTCTGGCTGTAAACCCACTCATTTAGAAAGCAGATGTTGTGCTTGTGAGTATAAATTAATGTTTTATTTTTCATTTAAGACCCAGGCAATTGGCTTCCAGAGAACACTGACCAGATACGGTCAGGAAGCTCAGTTTCATGATAAAATTCCCCAGCACATTCCCATAGCTTTCTGCTCTAATACTTGGAATTCTTGAAATACAGACTTACGCTTTTGATCATGGAAGCATGATGTTCTTAATGGCACTGGTTGATGCTAGATCCAGAAAACAGGCTCTATGGAAGGAGAGAGGAAACCTTGAGCACAATATTTTAGATTGGGAGCCTAAGTGGATTTGTCTAATACCATTGAAAGATAGCGAATTAGTCCATGCACAAGCCAAACCATTGCATTTCAAGACTGACAAGCTGGCTTCCTCTGTTCTCGCTAAAACTGCACCTGCTCTTCTGGTCGTTTAAGTAGCTTCTGTGCGATGCAGTAGGCACAGTAATGAGCCGATCCTCTGTTCCTTGATCTGTGAAATAGGGATATTAAGAATGGAGACCACATACTGAACCGAGTTCCAGGTTCATAACTGTGAGCTCTAACGATGTAACTCCCAAGCAACGGGGACTGAGATCCGTTCTATCCCAAGGAATCTCCAGCAGCACCTTGGGACAGATGGGGAGTGCACTGGGAAGGAACCTGTTGAACAACAGAGGGTCATAGCTAAAATCTAGTCTTGAAAAACTTGAACATCATGTTTCCCCCTCTTAGAAGTGGGGGTGAGAATAATTCCAAACTTGAGGAGAGGAGTCAGTGAGCCAGTGGGATCAATGCCTTGTCGCTGCTAGTGTTTTCAGTTGTTAAGTCGTATCCAAGGGCTGAAATGTGACCATTTTCGACCCACAGAAATGGCAGTTTTATGTTTCATGCTAGTCATCGATCAAACAATCAGTCGCAGGGTTTGGAGTGATCCGTGATGGCCGCCCGCTTACAGCAGCCCTGTTGCCACGAGTCGCACCGTGGTTCTTCTGAAGCTCCGCCATATCCACCCCCATGGCCGAGTGGCCACACCCATAGAAAGAGGGAGAGACAGGAGATGCCCTCAGAGAGGCAGGCAGCAACTATCTGGGAATAAAAGCAATTCTACCAAATGGGCGGGTCAAGTGGGGACTCCACTGTGCAAAACAGTTGGGTGGTTCCCCAAAAAGATAAACGTAGAATTTTCATATGGCCCAACAATTCCATTCCTAGGAATATCCCCAAGAGATTGAACACAGAGGCTTAAGCGGACACCTGTATAGCAATATTCATAGAGGCATTACTCACAATAGCTAAAGAGTAGAAATAACCCAAGTGTCAATCAGCAGATGAACCGGTAAACGAGGGGCACCTGGACGGCTCAGGCTGTCCAAACAACTGACTTCTGATTTCGGCTCAGGTCATGATCTCATCGTTCATGAAATCGAGCCCTGAGTCAGTCTCTGCACTGACAGTGCAGAGCCTGCTTGGGATTCTCTCTCTCCCTCTCTCTCTGCTCTTCCCTTGCTTGTGCGAGCTCTCTCTCTCTCTCCCAATGTAAATAAATAAACTTTAAAAGAAGAGATAAACAGGTAAACGAAATGTGGTTTATGAAAATATCCCTACAACACAGTGTTGTTCAGACCTGAAAAGGAATGGAGTTCTGATACATGCTTCAAAATGGGTGAACCCTGAAAACACTGTAAGGGAAAGATGACCCACACAAAAGGGTCAATACTACGTGAGTCCGATTAGATGAGGCAGCAGAGAAGGCAAAATTTATAGAGATGGAAAGTGCAACAGAGGATGCCTGGGCTGGGGAGTTCATGGATACAGAATCTGTTTGGGATGATTAAAAAGTTCTAGAAATAGCAGTGATGGTTAGACAACACTGGGAACGTACTCAGTCCCACGGATTGTACGCCTAAAATGGTTAGAATGGTAAATGTTATGTATATTACCACGATTTTTAAAATCTATCATAAAAAGAAATAGGCAGAGGTTGGGGGTACTACCACAGTTATGTTCTGGTGCCATCCGTGGGTAAACACGGTGGCCGTCTCCATCGGGATTCACTCACTGTTAAATTCTAAATCAGCCCTCCTTATTAGAATCAGCTTGCGTTCGGGCTAATAGACAAACATTATGAATCTAGATACCTTTAGAATCTAAATAGACCATTGCCATTCAAATTTACAGGCCATTGAACGTAACACTATGCAGTGGAATTCTAAGGTCGAACACAAGTAAACCTCAAAAGTAGATTTCACGTTCTTCTTCCTCCCTCTCTTTTTCTTTCTTTTTTCTCTTTCTTTCTTTCTTTCTTCTTTCTTTCTTTCTTTTCCTTCCTTCCTTTCCTTTCTATTTTTTCTTTCTTTCTTTTTCTCTTTCTTTCTTTCTTTCTTTCTTTCCTTTCCTTTCCTTTCCTTTCCAGTTTTCTTTCTTTCTTTCTTAAAGGGCAGACGGTGCTTGGGGAAAATTGTCAGAGACTAGAAATTCTAACCCCTCAGGGCATCAAAGTTGTGCTTGATTGCCTGTAGTTGAGAATTTTGAAGACCGATTCAATCACTGGTGGCTAATTCAGAGGGAACAAGCTGATTACGACTGGTATGCTTCCAGAATGTTAAAAAATAAAAATGCCTTCCTGGATGGGACCAGTGTCTGTGCAGGTGAGCCCCTTCCAGGAGCATGCTGTGGGGGACAGCCGTCCCCTCTGCCCCCGAGCAGGAATGTGACCAGAGTTTAGTTCGGCTAGCTCAGCTGGGCAATTTCACCTGAAAACTTACTACTCTGTTTTTTCTGTGCTCTGTGTTTTGTGTCGCAAAACACCCCTGCAAGTCACAGGGGTCACACCCAGGTCTCCTGGATGTGCCCTCAGGTGCTCTTATCTGGTGCGGGCTGAGTGCCAGGCCCCACAAAGAGTTCGCAGCAGGATCCCAAGGATGAATAGCACCATGTCTCCCTGTTTTTCCAGGAACAGAATGAATGGACCACTTGTGAAATCACTCTCCAAGCGAGTTCTCTTTGGGGTTTTAAATCATATCTAAGAGAGCAAAAATTAAAAAAAAAAAAAAAAAAAAAAAAAAAAAAAAAAAGCAGAACAGTGCAGACAAGCCAGCAAGGATTTTAGGGGGAAGGATCCTCAGGCCCATGGGGCTAAGCCTTCCAAAGACCTAGAGTGTGAGCTACGGAGAAACCTAGTGATTCTTTTGCTGGGCTGCAGGAATGGGGATTTTTACATTTCTAATTGGATTTCTTGCTTATTGAAAAAAAAAATGTAGTATCGAATAACAAATAAGGAAGAAGAAAGTCATCCAAAACTCAGCCTCTTAATAAATCAGCAATTTTGATTTGCCCATGTTCCCATTCAAATGTTGTGAATAAAAATATTTTATTTTATATCATTATAATCATGGCAAAGAGATATTTTAATAAATTTCATTTCCCTTAAGATGTTAAGCATTTTCTTGTTATTCTGTAGTTATCATTTTAATAACTGTTGAGCTGATATATAGCACAGGGCCCAGAAATAAAGGCATTTGGTAAATATTTGTTTAAAAGATGAATTAATATACTTTACTTCTCTATGCCCTTATTTGGGGAAGCATTGAATGTGATTTCATTTCTACTATTATAAATAATGTTTAATAGGTATCTTTGTGATTCTTGTCTATCCTACTTTTTGCATAATTTCATAGGGAAAGTTCTCAGAAGTAGGAGTCCTAGGTCGGCAGCTATGAAATGCATTAGCAAATTGCTTTTTAAGGAGATTGTATGGATTTGCTGCAGTTAGCAATACACAAATCTGCTGGTTTTTACATATCTTGACCAGCACAGCTATTTAAGATCTTTTTTTTAATGTTTACTAATTTAATAGGTATAGAAAGACTTCAAGTTGAAAAGCTCTCTCTTCCAAAATAATTATAGGGGCATCTGGGTGGCTCAGTTGGTTGAGAATCCGACTACAGCTCAGTCATGACCTTACAGTTTGTGGGTTCGAGCCCCACATGGGGCTCTGTGCTGACAGCTCAGAGCCTGGAGTCTGCTTCGGATTCTCAGTCTCCCTCTCTCTCTGCTCTTCCCCCACTCAGTCTTTCTCTCTCTCTCTCTCTCAAAAATAAATAGACTTTAAAAAATTAAAATAAAATAAAGTAATAATGGAATAGCTTTAGCTTTTCATCTTTGTTTTATAAGCCTTTTCCTGTGACCCTGACACAGAACCTAACCAGCTTTGAATGTTGGTCAATCGACCCCATGTCAGTGGTTAGACACCTTCCAAGGGAGCTGGTGGGGCATCTCTCTGTCCTGCAAACAGGACAGGTGTCAGGCCCGGGACTCTCCTGAACCACTCTGAGCACAGAGCCTGTCCGGGCCTGCTGGCTGCGAGGTGACAGAAATGCTCCGAGGGGTGGAGCGGAGGCTGAAGCTTCAGGGCAGCCGGCAGACAAGGCTCTCGGGTGGGGCCGGCACTAGGTGGTTCTTCCGGATTATCCTCCCTGGAGCCCGGGAAGGGCTCAGGGCACCTCACGCTGAACACGGGCGGGGCTCTATGCCTCACATGTCCCAAAGGTTACTTTATTGCGTTGTCCCAGCAGTGTGGAAGGCTGCCTGATTTTCATCCTACGTTGCAAAATGTGGAAACGGGGCCCCGGGAAACGTGATTTGCCCACTGCCCCTGAGCCGTCGGGATCCAGGATCAGGAGATCAGATTCCAAAGCCCCCGCTCAGAGGACCGTCCTTGGGGTGCCGAGGCACAGGAAGACTTGGGCTTCAAAGTTTTTACTGGAATAACAGAGGGACAGCACAAATACATTCCATGATTACATCTTGTCTTCTAATAGGTTTTTTTTTTTTTTTAGAAATTCATATTAAAATACCCATGGATGATGATGATGATGCACACTGCCTGGCTGGATCCTAATATCTTGTTATTTTTTATTATTGTATTTTTTAAATCAACGAATATTTATTTGCGAGAGAGGAAGGGAGAGCCCAGGTGGGGTTGAGTGGGAGGTGGGGAGGGGCAGAGAGAGAGGGAGAAAGAACCCCAAGTGGGCGCCTCGCTGTCAGCTGATCTCACCACGGTGAAATCATGATCTGAGCTGCAAGCGAGTCAGACGTCCAACGGACTGAGACACCCAGGCGCCCTGATCCTAGTATTTTGAAAACTGGGACCCAAGGCCGGTGTTATGGGTCCCACTACAAATGAGGAAACTGAGGCTCAGAGACTGAGAGACTGGCACAGGCGCTGTCTGAAGCCAGAGCTTCTCGCTCCCTGGAACAACGGGCTGGGCGGCAACACTGACCCCTGGGGGTGCTGAGGGCTAAGTGCTCAGTGCTCGGTGCTCGGTGCGGCACAGACTCCTGGATGATGACCGAGGCGCGGCCGAGCCCACCGGCGCGAGAAGGTGGAAATGGAGGTCGGGTGCAGGGAACGTTTGCTTCGCAGAAGACCAGAGATGGGAGCTGAGGAAGGAGGCGGAGGGGAGAGGAGGGAGCCACCTGTGCGCCCCTTTGCTCCAGTGGGGCAGGGAGCTGGCGCCCTCTAGCGCCCAGGAGACGCCCGGCACCCCAACCCACAGGCTGAAAAGTCCCCTCTGGAGTTGCACTGTGTGGACGGATGACAAGACCCAGGCGGGGGGCTGCTCGGCCCTCATAACAGTTGATTTTCCAGGACACCCTCCCACCCCCCCCACCCCCCCCACCCCCCCCGCCCCCCCGGCCCCCGCTGCCTCACACATTGTTTGCCTCCACCACTCGGCTTTTCTCAGTTCAGGTCAACCTTTTCGGTCTTGGATTAAACTGGGAGAAAATCTGAAAGGGGACGTGGAGGGTGCCTTCTCCTCATTGTTCTAGACCGGGTCTCTCAACACCATCCACACAAGCCGGCCCACCTGTAGGGGCGACACCTGTGCACTGTGGGACGTCTGGCAACATCTCCAGCCAGGCCCATTAGATGTCTGCAGACGCTGCCCCCTTGTCCCTGGGGACAAGGTCACCCCTGGGTGAGAACAGCTACGCTACAGGGGTCTGCCGAGCTGCTCCGCAGGGGGAAATGGACAGATAAGTGCGTGGATTAACAAGTTAGTAGCTTAAAAGTGATCCGTGCCGTGGCGCTGCTCGATTGAATAATAGAGCGTTGACTGAGTTTCTGTGAATATTACCTTCCAGATAAGACTGTGAATTGTGTCATTCGAACCGGATTGAAACTCACCCCGTTTTGGTCTTTCTTGCAGCAGAAAATAACCCCAGGACGTGTCCTCTCCGGCTTCTGGTTCCAAACCACTGTGTGTTGTCTCTAAACAGCAGCTGCGGGACCCCCAAAGTGGGGGCATCTCAGTGGTTCTGGGTGACGTCGTAAATGCTGGGGCTCGGAGCCGCCAGCCAAGAAAGAATTCTTGAGACGTCTTTGGTGCAAAAAGGTGGTTTTATGAAGGCACGGGGACAGCAGCCTTGGGCATAAAGAGCTGCACTGGGGTCGCGACAGGCGACTGATTACATACCTTCAAGTTGGGAGGGGGTCAGGGACAGTGGAAGTCTTTAAGGTATTTTGGAAACAAGGTTTCCAGGACCTTGAGGGGCTAGCTGCTGTTAGGAAAAGGTTATTTATTACTGTGTATTTAGTAAAATCTGAGTCATGAGACCCTTGAGATGTATATTAGGGGGCCATAAGCTTGGAGTATGATTGCCAGCAGCATGTCTTGTGGTGGGGGGTGTAGAGATAAAGGAAGTTTCCAAAGGAATTTTTATATGTTAAAGTAGACTTAACAGGATCCTGGGGGGTCAGGATAATGTTAAGCTACGATTGCCTTTTGCCCTGAGCAAAGTGTCATCATCGAGGCGGCTGAGCTCCTAGAGGAATGTCACTGTGCCTGTTTCAAGGACTTGTCCACGGGCTGTAAGATGTAAGGAGATTTATTGTTTTTTTCTTTTGCCTTTGTTTCTCACATCACTGGGTACATCCCTGCATCCGGAGGTGTTGTAGGGTTTAATAAATTGGTGGGTACAAACCTCAGTGCTGTTGGGACAAATCACAAGAGAAGGGCAATTTTCCACATGGATTAAGAAGTCTACGGATGAAGGGCACCTGGGCGGTTCAGTCGGTTTAGCATCCGACTCCTGATTTCAGCACAGGTCAGGATCCCAGGGTCATGGGGTCGAGCCCCCCGTGGGGCTCTGTGCTGAGTGTGGAGGTTGCTCTAGATTCTCTCTCTCTCTCTCTCTCTCTCAAATAAAATAAAATTAAAAATAAAATGTCCATGGATGAATAACTTTTTCCTTCCAGTTGCCTAAGGAGAATGCTGTTCTTAAATCTCTGACCACACTGTCTGACGATCTGAGTGGTTCTAGGGGGCAGGGTCCCAATGGGGGTGACCTCAGAGCGGGAAGACTCTCAGCTCGTCTTCCAGAGTCTGCGTGTCTGCATCTAGGTTCACCAAGGGTGCCGGCAGGCTCCTGCCAAGAGTTAAGGGTGTCTCCAGCCCCGCCATCCATCATTTCTTTAGACACGTGGAGGGAGAGGTCAAGCCAGGCAGGCGGGGCTGTCGTCCGTCCCCTCCCTGAGAGGCCTTCTGTGGCCACTCCAGGCCTGGGGACAGCCCCACCGCCTGAGGAGGGCGCACAGAAAAGGCGCTTAGGGACAGAGCCTTATCTGATGGGCGCCGTGGAGCTGGCCCTGCGAACAGAGCCGCCGGGTGACTGCTCTGGGGACTCGGACCCCACGAGGAGGGCGAGTGTGCCGAGGAACGTCGTCAGTGTGACCAGGAGAGCCCGCAGGTAGCGTGACGATGTCTTACATTTTGTTTCTCCGCCCCAGAACACGACTGGGACTAAGACAGCCAGCTGGGTTAAGATGTAAATGTAAGTCTTTCACCAAGAGAAGGATAAACTGCATGTTGGTGGAATTTGGGGTGGAGGGGAGGTCTCTCTGAGCAGAACGTGAAAGTAAACAGAAGGAAAAAAATCCACAGACCCGATGACATGAAAATTTACACTCTCTCTGCAGAAAACGCCTCCATGATAATCATCAGACTATTAGGAAACGATCCCGACATACATAACAGCGGAATGAAGATCAGCAGAGTCAGAACCTTGGAAAGCGACGAGAAAAAGACAGGTGCGCTCAGCGCAGGAGGTGAAAGGCGTGAAGTAGGTGACTCGAAAGAAAAATTAAAAAGCCAGAAAGTCCAGGAAAAAGTCACCACCGAAAGGCAAACGGGGACAGCAGTTGGGTGGCACCGAAGCTTGGCTGGCAGGTGAATCAAAATGGAAGGGTGTGGCGGCCCGCGGTGGCGAGCAAGGCGGGTGGCCGTGGCGGCGGGGCTGTGACAGCGTTTCGGGCAGTGGCTGGCGATGTGCTTAGAGATTGTCAGCGCGGAGGCTCCGACCTAAAGGTCCCAGCGCTGAGAACTCAGTGGCAGCAGATAATGAGATCGGCGTCCCCGACGAGCCTCTGTTCGCGGACATTCGGTGCGGGCTGACCAGCCCTCTCAGGGGTGGCGGGGGCTGTCGTGATACACGCCAACCACGCGACAGGGATGTTTTTTATGGAAGCAAACATGTGGAAAACCCTAAATGCGATACTCCTGCTCGTATTAAAAGCATTTACGTTGACCTACGTGTTTGTAAGACATTAAATCCAAAACGTTGATAGTAAGGCAATATATGTGCGATGATTTATTTATTCATGGGTCTCTTTGTGACTTTCTGCCTTACCTTGTTCAAAGCTGGGCCTTGGTGTGAATTCCCCTGGCTCCCATGGGTCTCTCTCTCTCTCTCTCTCTCTCTCTTTCGTTTTCACCCCACACACATGCCACGTTCACTCCTGCCCAGCTGTTCCCGTGGGATCCAGGTCCTTCAGGCTTCTGGTTCCACCCCAAAAACAAGTTCCCTGAAGGAGACTTGAAAGCTAAAGAGGCCTATCGTGCACCCACGGCTGTTTTAAAATATGTACCTCTGGTTTCTCACTCTCCTGTGCAAATCCCTCCATTGTCTTGCTTTCATATTCAGAATAAAATCCATACTTTCTCTGTAGTTTATAAGGTCCCGTGGAATGCAAGCCTTCTCTGAATTCTCTCTGAATTCTTTCCCTGTCTCTCTTTTCTTTGCTTCGTCTACATTGAGGGCACTGGCCTCCATGCTGTGTCTAGTTAACATGCCACGGTTATGGCCACCCCAGGGCCTTTGCACGTGCTTCTCTTGGCCCACAAAATGCAGTCTGGCTCTCTCCCTTGCTTATTCAGGTCTCTGCTCAAATGTCACCTCTGTGAAGAAGGCTCTTCTGATCATCCCACATAGAACAGGAACTTCCCCCATCCTTCTGTGTCCTATAATTCGGCGTTATTTGCCCCCTAGCACCTCAGTCACTGTATACCGTATACCATAACTTATACATTCACTCATTCATGTGTTTATTACCTTTTCCCAACAGAACAAAAGCTCCATGAGGGGGAGACTTTGGCTTGTTCTTTGCTGCCTCCATGGTTCCTGAAAGGATATCTGGTTCCTATGTATTGGGAGAAAGAAGAGAGGGAATGGTGGCAGAAATGAAGAAACTAGAAGATAAAAAACAAAATCAACAGGAACAATATATATTGTTTGTTTATTTATATATGTTTAATATATATATATTTATAAATATATTAAACATATATAAATAATATGTTTAATATAAATTTATATTAAACATATATAAATAATATGTTTATATATGTTTAATATATATTTATATTAAACATATATAAATAATATATATTAATATATATATTGCATATTTATATATGTAAATATATATTGTATATTTATATATGTTTAATATATATATTTAATATATAAATATATCGTAAACACATAAATAATATATATATTAAACATATAGAAATATATATTAATATATATTATATATTTATATATGTAAATATATATTGTATATTTATATATGCTTAATATATATAAATATATATTTATATGTAAATATATATTAAACACATATAAATAATATATATATTAAACATATATAAATATATATAAATGTGTGTGTATACATACACACACACACACACACACTCACACATATATTTATTTTAGAAAATATCCTAAAATAAACAAGTCTACTGACAAGACTGATTAAATCAAAAGAGGGCGATACAAATTCTGTTGGTGACAGAGGAGGCAAGGCCCACAGGGGACGAGTTTTAAAAATTGTGAGAGACTTCCCTGACCAACTTCATGACAATGGACTGGAAGATTCTGCTGAGGTGGGGGCCCTGCTCGGTCCCGCAGCTACCCCGATGGCCTCTGCAAGCACTGGGCACAGCAGAGACCAGCTGAGCTGGGGTGGCGGCTTCTCCAGCATTTATGACATGAGAGAAAGAACCACACAGAGGTACAGACTAAAAAGCTGACAAATGTTACAGACACCGTAAAATCCAGAAAAATAACATGGAATTGTTATTAGTCGTAGTCGCAGTAATTGGCTGCCTGATACACATCTGCAGGGCTCATTTCTGCGGGTTTTTCGTCTCTGTTACTGCCCTGCTCCTATGAAAATAACTTGGTCATATCATTTTCTGCAGAGAGAATAGAAAACTAATTCTATCTTTCCTCTAGCAAGGTCGACAGAAATTTGTTTTTTATTATTGACGGTTGAGAAACGCTTCTCTCCACCACCTCTGATAAGGGGTAAAGCCACTGGCTTTCCGCACAGTGTCTTGCTCCGTGGGTCCTCCCAGTGGGACTAGGGAGGTGTGCAGAGACCAGGGAAGCGGTCAGAGACCCTGGGTCTTTCTGGGGACCGGCAAGGGCGCAGGATCAAGCCAAGCCCTGGGAGCCTTCGTCCCCCAATCTCCCTGGATGTGGCCTCAGCCACTGCCTGGTAGGCACGTCCAGCTGTCCACCCCACCCCCAGGCCTTTCCTACATCCCCCCACCAGCGGGGTGTACACATGACCCCCCCAGGCTGGAGCACTGCTTCATGCATGTGGGTCACGCATGCGAATCCTCCCTGCATCCCGGGAGCAGGACGCAGCCAGTGTGAGCTTTATTCTCCTCACGGCCAGCCCACCTCTGAGTGGGAGCCAAGCTTGGAGCAGGTAGGGACAGCTCAGGACCCCGCACAAGAAGCAAGTCGGACTGCTTGTTGGTACAGGGCTTTACCGCCGTGGTCGTGCTTCTGGGTGTGTCCCACGTGTGTCCTTCCCCCATCCCTCCTCACCACAGCAGGTGTCCTGGGACTGGCCGTCCATGGTCAGCATCAACCCTTCTCACTGCTTGTACCATGGCAAGAAGGTTCACTTTGTTTTTGCATCTGCCATCTTCCTGTTTGTTTTTATGTTTGATGCCTTTTTTTTTGTTGTTGTTCATCTGTTCCCCTAGTACTGCCTTCTTTGATGTTAAATATACATACTTAAGGGTACCATTAGGATTCTCTTTCCATTCATTCACCTATGTATGCCTTGATTATTTTCATTGTGGCTGTTCTGGAAATACAATTTACCTCTTAACACATAAGAAGCTAGCTCAGATTAATACCGATTTACTTTCCGTAGCATGCAAAGATCTTGTTCTCCTACAGTGCCTTTCCCTCCCTGTCCTCTGCGGTGTTATTATCACAAATCACATCTGTGTACAGACAGACCTCAGAGATACCGTGGGTTTGGTTCCAGACTGCCACAAAAAAAAAAGCAAAACAAAAATTGCAATAAAATGAGTCACATGAATTTTTTGGTTTCCCAGTGTATATAAAAGTCATAATTACCCTATACTATAGTCTATTAAGTGTGCAATGGCATTATGTCCTTAAAAATGTACAGACCTTAATTTAAAAAATACTTTATTGGGGCACCTGGGTGGTGCCCCAGTCGGTTAAGCGTCCGACTTCAGCTCAGGTCATGATCTCGCAGTCTGTGAGTTCGAGCCCCGTGTCAGGCTCTGGGCTGACAGCTCGGAGCCTGGAGCCTGCTTCAGATTCTGTGTCTCCTTCTCTCTGCCCCTTCCCGCTCATGCCTCTCTCTCTCTCTGTCTCTCAAAAATAGACATTAAATTTTTGAAAAAATACTTATTGCTAAAATATACTAACCATTACCTGAGCTTTCGGTGAGTTGTAATCATTGGTCACAGGTCACCTAACAAAAATAAGAAGAAGAAGAAAATTTGAAATATTGTGAGGACTACCAAATGTGACAGAGACCTGAAATGAGCAAATGCTACGGGAAAAAAAACGTATGATGAAATTTCTCAACTCGGGGTTGCCACAAACTTTCAATTTATAAAAAACGCATGGGGCGCCTGGGTGGCTCAGTCCGTGAAATGTCTGACTTTGGCTCAAGTCATGATCTCACGGCGCGTGGGTTCGAGCCCCACATCAGGCTCTGTGCTGACAGGTCAGAGCCTGGAGCCTGCTTCGGGTTCTGTATCTCCCTCTCTCACTTGCACTTGTCTCTGTCTCTCTCTCTCCCTCAAAAATAAATAAACATTAAAAAAAAAACCACCATCATATCCAAGTGCAATAAAACAGGCATGACTATATACTGTGTGTCCATCAACACACATTTATAATTATTTCTTTATGCTAGTGTCACTTAAATTAGATAGGAGAAAAAGGCATAAAGTAAACATACCTTTACACTGTCGTTTATTTACCTATGTTGTTACTTTTATCGGTGCTCTTTATTTCTTTGTGTAGATTCACAGTGCTGCCTAGTGGCCCTTAATTTCAGCCTCAAAGTCTCTATTTAGTATTTCTTGTGGGAGGTCTATTAGAGACGAATTGTCTCTGATTTTTAAATATGAGAATAGGAGTGCCTTGCTGGTTCAGTTGGTTGAGTGTCTGACTTCAGCTCAGGTCATGATCTCACCGTTGGTAAGTTTGAGCCCCTGATCGGGCTCACTGCTGTCACCCTGTCAACACAGAGCCCACCTCGGATCTTCTGTCCCCTTGTTTCTCTGCTCCTCCCCGGCTTGTCCTCTCTCTCTTTCTCTCCCCACCAAAATGAATAAATAAATGAAAACATTAAACATAAAATAAAATAAAATATGAGAATATATTATTTTCTCCTGTGTTTCTGATAGTTTTCCCAGATGTAGAATTCTTTTGTTAAAAAATGCTTCTTTAATTTATTTTTGAGAGAGAGAGAGAGTGTGCGAGCAGGGGAGGGGCAGAGAGAGAAGGAGACAGGATATAGAGAATCCCAAGCAGGCTCTATATACCGTCAGCACCGAGCTGATGACTCGGGGCTTGAACTCGCAAACCCTGAAATCACAACCTGGGCTGAAATCAAGAGTTGGACACTCAACCAACTGACCCCCACCAGATATAGAATTCATTGTTGACAGTATATGTCTCTCAGGGCTTTGAATATGTCATACCACCAATATCTGCCATTCATGGTTTCTGGCCAGAAATTGGCTGTCAATATCAATTAGGACCGCTTGTACAAAATCAGTCACTTCTCTCTGGCTGCTTTCAAAATTCTCTCTTGGTCTGTACTTTTGACAGTTTGAAGATGATGTGTATGTGTAGATCTCTTGAGTGTATCCTACTTGGAATTCATGGAGCTGCTTGGATGTGGAGACCAATGGTTTTCATCAAAATTTGGGAGTTTTCAGCCATTATTACTTCATCAAACATCCCTTCTGTCTCTTCCTCCCTTTCCACTCCTTTTGAGATTCCCTTTATTCGTGTGTGGAGAATCGTGACCGGCTTCCACAGGTTTCTGAGACTCTGTTCATTTTTCTTCATTCCCCCCCCTCCCTGTTTCTCAGACTGGATAATCTCAATTGGTTAGCATCAAGTTCATTTCTTCTTTCTTCTGTCTGCTCAGATCTGCTGTTGAGCCATCTAGTGAATTTCTCCTCATTATTTGACTGTTGAACTGCAAAATCTCTATTTGATTTTTAAAAGTATTTCTACTTCTTTATTGATATTCTCTATGTGGTGAGGCATCCTGCTTTCTTTCAGTCCTTTACACGTGGCCTTCTTTGGCTCTTTGGATGTATTTACACAGTATGTGTAAAGTCTTTGACGATGAAGTCCGATGTCTGATGCTCCTCAGACACGGTAGCTATTGACTACTTCCTCCTCCCCCTGCCCTGTGTACGGACCGAGCTTTTTTGTTTCTTTGCAGGTCCCGCAATCTTTTTTGTTGAAAATCGGGCATTGAAAATAATATAATGTAGCAACTCTGAAAATAGGGTCTTTTTCTGCCTTCATCCTGGCGTGTTGTTATTGTTATTGTTGTTTGTTGTAGTTACTGTTTGTTTGTTTAGTGACTTTTCTGTAGTCATTCTACCACCCCCAGCCCCCCAAATCGTGTTCTTTTTCTGAAGTCTCTACTCAGCTTAGTGGTCAGCTAATGATAGGACAGAGATTTCCTCAAATTCCTGGAGCCAGGAAGTCCCCCAGCATCTGACGAGGGCTCTGTATGTGTTTGGGGGCAATCCTTCAACACTCAGGCAGGTGACAATACTACCTTTACCTTCCCTTTCTGCCTGTGCAAAGCTTCAAGATGAGCCAAAGGCGAGAACTTAGGACCCACTCCAGTTTTTATCCAAGCTTGCCACAACCCAGGGCACGTACACAGCTCTAACAGACGCATGGCCGTCTAAACTCCCAGGAACACCTCAGAGCTTTTCCAAGACCCTGTGAACTCTTTTTCCCACCTTTCCCTCTTAGGTTTGCTTAGTCTATAGTGTGTCCTCACTGCATCCACCACCTCAGGCAATTAAAAGTTAAACATGTCCCTATCATGGTCTTCAACAAATACCCCTTGGGGAGAAGGCTTTTTGCACAGGGCAAGCTCTAAGGTCAAATACAGATAGCCTTGCAAGTAAGATCTTTCATGGAACCATGGGAGCAGTCAAATAGTGACAATTCTTTGGAACTGGGGTTTGCAAAAGCCTCAGCTCTGGTTTGTTACCTCCAGCGGCTGCTGGTTGCCCTGGGAACACAGGCTTTCACTTTACATGGTTGTTATAGATCTGGAGAACAGAGGAGGGAGTAAGGCAAGCTAAATGCCACCAAGCTCCCTGACCTGGGACATAGCCACTGATTTTCTGATAAGCTCCTCAGGTGACTCCACACCTTTGGTTAATTTCCAGGGTTCTGGAAAAGTCAATTCTGACCATTTTTGCCACTTTTCTCATTGATTTTATGGAGAAGAGAATTTCTGGCAAAGAGAATTGTCGTTGATGTCATTTAGCTTTCTTTTCATACATGAAATATCTTAATTATGCTGCTTTTCCGTAGCCTCGGCCTGACCTCACAGCTCTGTTTCTGATTCTTAGTACTTACCTACTCATCTCTAGGCCTAAGTTTTCACTGCCCTATCACATATATATCCCTAAAATAAGTTGGAGTAAAATGGGTGCTTAGTGAGGCATCCAAGCTAATATATATATTGGCGCCCTTATTGTTCACATAAAGTTTTATCGTGAAGGATTTTATTCCCACAAAGTTGCAGCCAGCAGCATGAGCATCACCTGTGCGTTTCTTAGAGATGCACCCTCTCGGGCCCTAACCGAACCTATTTTAAACCGGAAACTGGGGGGCCCAAGCAACTGTTTTGTTACGTACTTCGGGTAACTTTTATGTTCATTAAAGTTTAGCAACCACCAGAAAAAAGAAAAAGATATATTTTACACCAGTTGAACATTCTGATCGCCTGAGAAGGCCTTTATTCTCTACCTCTACTGAGTTGAGTGAAATTGGATGAATTACTTACTGTCACATACAAGCTTTATATCCAAATCTGTAAAGTGATGGGATTAATATGGAAGAGACCGTGGGGTTGGTTTTGTTTTGTTTTTGTGTGGCATCTGAATTATCAACCTTGCTTAGAAGCACCTTCCCCACTCAATGGTTAAAAAACAAAGGCAAGGGTGCCTGAGTGGGTCAGTCGGTTAAGCTTCTGATTCTTGATTTTGGCTCAGGTCTTGATCCCGTGGTCGTGAGATCAAACCCCACATTGGGCTCTGCAATGAGTGTGGACACTGCTTGGGACTCTCTCCCTTCCTCTTTCTCTGCACCCTCACCTCAAAATAAATAAATAAACTTAAAAAGAACACACAAAAGCGTAATTCCTGTATCTTATTATGTCATTAAATGGATTTTATCTTTCATCTAGATCTTTAATCCATCCTGAAATCATTGAAAACTTTTGCATAAATGCACATATATACCTTTTTTCTTGTTTACATTGTCAGCCCTTTGTCCAAGTATCATCTATCATATATCAAAACCCAAGTATTTTTCGTTTGGTTTCTGGATCCTAGGTTCTGTTTTGCCCAATTTGTCTATTCCCATGCCATATTGTTTTGATTAGAGTAGCTTTAACACACATTTAAGTATCTAGAAGATAAACTCCTTTTAATAGTCTCTTCCAAAACATTCTCAGAAATTATCAAGCTTATCCTTCCATATAAAATGTACAATTAATTTGTCCAATTCCAAAACAATGTTCATACGCAACCATTGGAATTCTGACTAGCGTTGCACGAAATATATGCACTTGTTTGAGAAGCATTTACAACGTTCAGTCTTCCCATTCAGGGATGTGACACGTCTTCATTTACTAAAGCCTTCCTTTATGTCTTCTGTAAAATATTAATATTGAAAGATGTATTCTAGCCCTATGACTTCCTTGATAAATTTATT